TATTATTTTTACTGAAGTGGTCAACCTCAAAACATGCAAACCTGAAGATCTGATTCATGGAATACAAGTTTTACATGCTAAATAAGCAAGTGAGCACTTGCTACGAAGTTTAAACAGATCCAAAATAAATACACCAGTCTTACTGTACTCAGCTGCCTTGAATTATTCCTATCAAGTCTCAAGTCAAGAAGCGAAGCAGAGAGAAGGAAACCTGAAAACTGGCATTCTTCTTGGAACACTAGTTAATTTTTAACTGATGAAAAATAAGACTGTTTCTACAGCAAGAGTGCATTAGATCTTTCCTTTCAGTAGCAAAACAGAGCTTTCAAGCCCTTAGGCACTTATTCTCTTTTAACTGTTCCTTTCCTCTATACTGTTCTGTGTGCAAGTGAACAGATTATTACCACTCTAAATAAAATACTACAGTTTGCTTTCTGTAGGACTTCCTCAAGAATTTGTGAGGCATAGATGCATATGCCTATAACAGACATTAAAATGTTTAGAAAACAAGCCATGTGAATAACAAAGCAAATACTTTTAAAGAGTTCCATGGCATCACTTTAAAATAACTTCTATAGTAATTTGAAAATTTAAAATCATTATTATGCAAGTTACATTATTATTCTTCCACGGTTCTGTAAAAATGTGGCTTCAACAGCAGTTGCTGTGGTCCTGTCACCCCTCATCCTCATCCTGCATCTGTCCTTCTATCATCTCAACATGTCAGAAAAAAGTCTTGTTATAGTGGAGGTAAAATGTCAAAATGATAGTCCTTTCCATGCTTGCTTGTATATCTTACACAGCTTGCTAACAAATAAGCAAACACTTGATTCTTAGTGCAAAAGATGAGATTAGTTTTCCACTTCTTAAGAGGCCCCTAAAATTAGGAGATTGAGTTCATAGTTGCAAGTGAGCATCAATGCCCTGAAGAGATTTTCCAAGAGGTTGGGCAGATCTAGCCTTTTCCAGGTTTTGAAGGACATGACCCATGGACTGAAGCCTTCCTTCAGCTAAGCTGGCTGTGTAACAACACAGCCCTTACAACTTGCAAGAAGTTTTATAACACAGCATGAAGTCTTGTTGCAGAAAGAGTTATGTTGTGATTCACTGACCAATATAAATACTATCTGATTGGAATGAGACATTAATAAAAAATAATCCCTCAATATTTCTTCATAACAGAACACCTTGTATTTGCCAATAAAACACTTGCAGTGGTTGTGATTACATTTTTGTTTCCTTCAGAACTTACATACATCCAGATCTAACAATTCAGCTAAAAGGACAACTCATAGATCTAAAGATTAATGGACTCAAAGCAACACAAGTAGGAGACAATAATTTTCTCACTCTACAAAAATATTTTAAATACCATGGGGAAAATAGCTCTTCACCATCTGGTTTCCACAGGTGTCACTCCATGTTCCATTCTCACATAACATTATTTTTTTGCTTACACTCCCATATTGGGTATAACAACAGAGTCAGCACCAGTAAAACCCACCAAGTCCTACACTTTCTTATGTTTCTTATGTATTGCCAAGTCTAAAGTAACAACATCTCTTCTGAATGACATGTGAAGTAAATCATGAGTGGCATCCTTGGGTGCTTTGGTAAAAGTAATTGCAGTGCTCTGACTAAATTCATTTGGATAATTACATGGCTCTCATTTGAAATTAGCCTGTTAGCTTTTGCTAGAAGAGTTTTTGTTCATTTCATTCTGCCAGCCTTTTCCCTTTTCTTCCCTTTCAGCTGTTACTGAATGGTAGCTGAAATAAGTACTTCTCTTTGGGGAATCAAGCATGCAGGGAATTGCAACAAGGAAATCTATTATTTTAAAGCTGTGTCAAGCAGGACATGCCTGTATTTCTTAAATATATACATCCAAAATGTGTTATTATCATGAGTTTGTGTACTTTACATTTTTGCAATTTACAATACAGCTTTACAAGAATGTCTGCTTTCTGTATTTTCCATTAAGTTCAACATGAATCAACCATTTATTTCTCCCCCTCCTCTAAAATACTGAGAAAGAAGCTTATATTATCTTAAAAATAGCCTCTTGTAAGTTAAAATCTTGCGGGTTTCTTCCTTTTATTTGTCTTTCCACAAGTATCTCACAGACTGATAGTGATACCTGGTATTAGCATGCAGCAGGCTGGTTGTGTTTTCGCAGCTACTTTCTCGTCCAACCACAAGATGTCGGTGTGACCCATTTATACTGGCACCGTGTTTCTCCCAGTCAACCGTTGCAAGTAGCCAACGGATCCCATTCCTTTCCTTTAAAAATCTGCAAGAGATAGAGAACACAAATATGTGCGCTCAGTGAAAGAGAGCATGGACTGACAAGTGCAAGGCCGGGATAACTAACTGCCTCACTTCAGCTTTGCCAAGAACAGCTCTGCTATACTTCCCTCGGCAGTCGGTGGTTCCCCCCACCGGCTGTGTTGCAGCCTTCGAATGCTCAGAAAAAAAACAGGAAAAAAAATCCGAGGCACTGAGCTGGCAATTAAGGACATCGATCCTGCTCCTGCCGGACCTGTTCTGAAGTCAGTTGTTATTAAAATGCATTGCTTGACTGAAATGTGCTGTATATATTTGAAGTGTATAGCAGCATAGGCATCAAAAGTTCCTCAGTATTACAGCACCACCTCTGTATTTAAATTTGAAAACCTGAAAATATATTCTGAATTGCTGAGATGTTCGCATTTCAAGGGTTTGTTTTTGGTTTTGGTTTTGTTTTGTTTTGTTTTGTTTTTTGAGTTGATATATGCTCGCTGTTAGTAACAGGTAAGAAAGATGGTGCTAATTCCTGAGCCCTTAGGTGGCAGAGAGAAGAGGGGGCTGGGACCAAGGAGAGAGCAGGTTGGGAGAGCAGAAAGAGTCTAATGGATTCATTACCAAAATCTTTCTGATTCCTCATCCTGCAGAGTAGAAAGGGATCCTATGAATTTAAAGGGTATTCAAAGCATCTTTCTTGCTAATTAGACCAGACAGAGAGTTACAAGTGCACTAAACATAGACATTTGAAAGACTAATGCAACTGTTTCTGGGAATAAATATAACTGTCCCACAGTGAGCTGCACTGAGGTGGTGATCTCTGTTTTCATTTACAATGTAAGTATAGGCAAGTTTACCTTTTCCCAGAGAAGATGGGAATAATTAAAATAAAAAATAAAAAGAATGCAGTATTCCTGCACAGTGCATTTATTAATGAAGTGTAAAATTGAAGTAAAATAAGTCAGGCTATCATCACAGAATTCAGTAGAGACAGTAATAATTTTAAGCGTCTCTAAAAGCATAATATCATAACCAATCAGGCACAGTGCTTCATTTCAGGGTTAAAGTTTCCTCATCAAGTGAATCATTGGCTAGCAAAACAAAAACCAGCTGCTTAACAGATAATGGGCAACACTCCAGATTATTTTTATTACTACTTTAGCAAGCCATACATTTGGAATTGCATTTTTAAATGATATCTGGAGGACAGTTTGACAGAAGAAAGACTAATAGTTAAATAAAGTATCATAACTCTCCTTCTCACAATGCTCAATTAAATGGTTCGCCATTAATGTAAGTTATCTTGAACCTTTGATCTATCTTTCAAAATTTCCTTACCTTGCAATTCGTCCTGCATGAGTTTAAAATAAAATAGCAACCCTAGAACTTTAATTATAGATATATCTGCTAATCCTGTTCTGCTGTCGACTCAGTGCAGAAGCTCATTTCTGATAGCTATTGAAATTCAACTGCCTCTTTCTTCGTGAGTCCATTAGCAACCAAATAGCCTATATAAACTGACTTGCCATTTTTACAGTAATGGAAGATGTAAGGACAAGAGAGTGACAGAGTTCTGAATAACAGTAGCCAAACAAGAAGGAATAAAAGTATCTCATCTGATTATTTCTAGCATTAGTGCAACTGAGGGAAATAGTTTCCATCATCATATGCCATAATGCATTCTGCTTTACATTACCAAGCCCATCTAGAGGGATTTTCTAGCAAATATACTGAAATTTGGAAATGCTTTTCCCTTTTCACTGCACTTTCATCTCAGATCTTGTTAACCAAACTATTAACACTTGCAGGTACTATTTGTCCTGAGATCACAGAATACCAATAAGATTACACCACAGACAGCTTTTGAGGTCATCAATCTTGCTCCCCAGACACATGTGGTAGATGAGATCATAGATTCAAGCTGTTAAGCCCCAGAAGATGAAGGTTACTGGGACAAGGTAATATCATTAAGGATTTGGAGTTGTCTTTACTATTCTGCTGAGGAAAAATAATTCTGCCCTCTCCTAGAAGCTGTGAAACATGATCTTTCCCTATAATTCTCCCTGCACTCTTGAGTCTGACCCCCTGACACACTGGAGAAGGCTCTGCTGTGTTCTAGGTCACTGAGATTGCAGGCTTAGCCCTTCAGGCACCCCCTCCTTCGGGCAGAGATGGTTATGGTTCCCTCCTCCCACCAGTAACATGGTTAACCATGCCCGTGTTTCACCTGTGCGCAACTTCTGCAACAACATTCAGTGCACTTCATAATTTTATAGTTTACCTAACCTGAAATCTGCTCTGTTCCCACTGTCAAGCTAATTTAAATCCCTTCCTCAAGTAACTTTATATTTCAGTTAGAAGAAATACAGTTGGTATCTATTGCCATGTATCCCTTGGCAAAACAGAATCATTAAACTTCTACTTCCATCAGAGTCACATTATTTGTCTCTCATTATTCATAACTACAAACAGCACAATTTTGCAATAATTGGATGTGCACTAACATTTTGCTTTTACTGCTTATGCATGAAAGCTGTGCATGTGTTGAAGCCACTCAAGACCCCAGCCCTATAAATAGTGCTCTATTGTTAGTGGATAAAAGATGAAACTAGTCTCCTGGCACTGGAGCACAGCACACCCTATTTAACGTTAAGCTCTGCCTGTGCTAAAAGTGAAAGACGACATCAACTGATAAACTAGTCTGTGGGTAAGGCATATGACTGGGAAGAGTTTGCTCTGACTCTGCAGCTTTCCCAAAGCAACAGGAGCAGCAACTTCTCTTTCTGCCTCAACAATGGCAGAAGCTGTTACAAGACACTGGGTGGAAACTCCTGTACGCTACCAAGAGCAGTTTGCTGTCCAAGAGCTGGAAGCACACAAATTGGACCACTCTCTATATGCTTTGCCAGGCCCTTCCACAGCTACACTGAACAACAGAAGGTGTATCACACAAAGTATAGCTGGCACCAGGAAGAGTGGCCAGGAAGAGGAAAACACACACTTTCAGGTCTTGCTGGATGTTGTGCAGTTCCGCCCCGAAGATATCATTATTCAGACTTTTGAAGGCTGGCTCCTGATCAAAGCTCAGCATGGACCCAGGATGGATGAACACGGTTTCATATCCAGAAGCTTTACCAGACAATACAAATTACCTAATGGAGTGGAGAACAAAGACTTGTCTGCGCTTTTCTGCCATGATGGCATTTTGGTTGTTGAAATGAAGAACTCGGTGGGAAACAATTAGAACCTTGACCATAGTTTATTGGTGAGATAAAATCATTCTTAATATAACAAAATAATATTATTCAAGTAACACTGCAGAGTGTAATAAGCATGTGGCTATATTACAGTAAAGGATAATCTTTGTATATATTTTTCATTATGCTGTTTATTGTTTGATGTGAAATGTTAGACTGCTTGCCTCTAGCTTCACACATGTTGGAAAGCTGGGCTTTTTGAACAGAATAAAATTTAGGTTAGTCACAGCAAGAGAAAAAAATAATCTATTTGATAACATATTGAAGATAAAGCATATTTATGAGTTCAGTAGGAGGAGTTGCATTTCTAGGGAATAAGCATGTCATAGTCATAATCATTAATGAAGCAACAGACAGGTTGTGAGTCATATAGAAATTTAATTTACATTCTGAAAAAATCTGTTTTTTGTAATTTTTGAGCTCAAATTCTTCTTCCTTAGGCTCTGAAGAAGCACATGAACTGAAGGATACTATCAAGAAAAATAAAACCACTATTTCCACAGTTCAAGCTCATTTACAAAAAAACCCTTGAGAGATTGCTTTTTAGAAGTGTGTTGCATGTTTGAAACTATAAGAAAAAAGAATAATCACTGACTACATTTGCTGAACATACAGTAAGTAGAAATGATAATTTCTGTCAAAGACAAATTAATTTGAAAGAAAACATTCAAAGACATTTAGAAAATTAGCATATTCTGCTATCGATTAGCAACTGAAGAAAAAATGTATTACTTATGAGTACTCAAAAGGATCAAATTCTCCTTTGTGAAGTCCTGGTAATAAAAAGGCATTACTCTAGCACAGATGCCTTTATTGTTATGCATTTTAGGTAGTCTTGTTTTTCAATCAGATGAATATTTAATTCTTCATTTTGCTTGACAGTTTAGGCTGAGATCCCATAGCTGCGTCTTCAGGAGCAAATTTTTCTGCCTATATGCATTCTCACACTCCTTGTGTGAACATGGGCTCTACATGAGTCTAATTATAAGTGTAAGAGTTCCTTACTATGCACAGAGGTTTAATTTCTGTCCTGGTGTCTCTCATTTAATGAGAGTGGTAGAGATGAAAAAAATCCACCCAATATATCTAGCATATAGTCTTCTCAACGTTAAAAAAAAAATGCTGTTAGTTTGTAAATACTCAAACACTTGAGGAGATCTGCAGCTGCAAGTCGAACTGCCTCCTTTTATGTCTACTGGAGATGAATATGACTGCTGTGCTATGAATAGTAAAGGAATGTGGAATGGAAAGTACCGAGTTAAATACAGACTCTTTATGATAGCCATCTGCTGTTTGGACAAACTAAAAACATATTCAAATGAAACTGAATACAAATACAATTTTAAGAATATGAGAAAAAAATCTGATAAACAAAACCCAGGCTCTCACTAGCTCAAACCAGAGAGTTCCTTTAGTTTAAAATGAAGGCCCTAAAGCTTGCAAATCTGCACATTCATTAGAAAGATTCATGTCATGGTCATTTAGACTTGAAGACATTTGAAGCAATTGATTTTAGAAAAGGGGGTAGTCCAATTCTTGCATTTTATTTATTATTATTTGTGCCAAAACTCACAATGAATTTGTACAATAAATGCAGAATAAGGTCTGGACTGTAAATTTTGATCCCGTGCAATTATTTGATTTTTTGAACGGAGCAGAAGTCAAGAGCCTAATGTTTTCTAACAAAGCAAACCAAATATAAAACATATGTCCCTACATTTCCAGTCAACCCACACTTTCCCTTCATATTGCCTGTGTTTAATCTGTGTATTGGTTTAAGATAATAAATGATCCCAGTAGAAAATCAGATCTGGATTTTCAACACTTTTAGGTCAAGAAGCTTCTTCAGACAGGAATCTAATGGAAGATGAAACATGGATTTAAAGAAATGAATTCTATATACAGGTCTGGATTTAAACTTTACACACCGATTTTATAAAAGCTTACAAGTTTAGACCCATGGTTTCCACATCACCTTATGGCAATGTTGGGATAGAGTTTAGGATCACCAGTTAGTAATCAGCTTTGGTGATTTCTGTTTACAGAGGATTCTGTAAATTCAATCACTTAAAATTATAGGGTTTTATAAAAATTATTCTAGCTATGATTGCAATGATGGTATTCATAGCCCTAGAGATGAAAAGGCAGTTCTAAAACATAACTGATTTAATAATTTGACATTAGGTCATGATTAAGCTACTGGAAACTTGGCAAGGAATTAGACCAGACAGCCAAAATCACATAATCTGTTCTATACATGTTAATACCATGGTTACACACAGCCCTGATTATGTACACAGTCCTGCCTCATAAAACCAGAGGAAGAACTTGGCATTTGACAGTTCTGTCATAGGTCTATTCACATCACTCCATACCCAGATATAATCACATCATCAGTCTGAAACCATCGGAACATACTGATCCAAACATGGCAGGAACACAGGTGAATTTTACCTTCTTTTGTACCCAGAGCTTTACAAAGCCTATGCCCATGCTCCTTGGTGAATGGGAACTTGCCCTGGCTCAGCACTCGAGTGTTTGCGTAACAGGGACCATGCTGGAGTATGGACCTCTCGCTGGCTTCCTGCATTTTAGCACCAAGAACAACGCAAAGTGCTTCTCTTTTAGTGGCAGTGTATCAACAGTTCTTGGGCGATTTTTATGTGTTTACCAGAACAGCATCAAACTACTTCGCAGAGCATTTCTGAATTGTCTTGAAAGAGCTGTTTACACGTATTGTATGTGATGTTTTATAATCTGATTAGAACTGAATGTCAGTGTCACAGAGAGAGCTGCTAATATTGTCCATGGGCAGCAGAATGAGAAATTTATCAGCAGCAAAGGATTTCAGAACAGCTATAGTTTAAGACAGCTTAAAATATGCTGATGTGATTAAATTAAGAACCCTGATATTGGCTGCCTACAAGTCCTTGCCCAGAATAAGTGACAAATGCTGCTTCAAGCCTTGCAGAGCGAGTGTTATGGAGCCTTCTCAATTACCATCAGTGAATGATTACCTTCATAATTGATCAGACTGTTCCTCCAAATGGATAAAGATATTTCATGAATGAATCTAAGCATGGTGAAAAATGCTTTCATAGAAGAAGAAAATGTCTCAATATTAGCATGAGTCTACAAAAACAAGGTAACAAACACACATTTCCATGTCATCCATCTCTGGGGGCAGGAAGCCCACAATGCCTTGGACTTGTTGCCTTTTTATAGTTTCTGCTGCATCCAAGGCATCTGAGATCTCTCTACACAATCTGACACTTGTGGTGCAGTGAACCCAGGCTGACACCCATCAGCCACTCAGTAACTGCTCAGCTACAGCCCTGGACACTGGAAAAGAGGAAAGGAAATCCCCGGGGTATCATAGTGGCAACATTCCCTCTAAGAGTGGTAGGTCTTCTGTTCCTTACTTGGTTCATAGCCAGGAAACAAAATGTGCTTTTTCACCTGAGTAATGCTACAAGATTTGGCTTTTAATGGGAGCAGGAATATTTCTGAAAATATTGAGTGCACCGTCTCTTTTCCGACTACCAGAAAACAACAGCTGGCCCCTGTCATCCAGAGGACAGCATCTCAATGGCCCTACACTCTGAGCACAGGGGTTAAGTCTAAGGACTTAGACCTGTATGTTACATCAGAGATACATGAGCTGGCCCCACTTGTGCTATCTCTGGAGCCAGAAGTACTGTCCCTGTGTGCCAACACAGGTCCAGAAATCCCAGCCTGTCCGCTGTGCTCAGAGTAAACAAATCATCCCTTATTAAAAGTATTTTCACAAATGGAGAAATACGGCACTACAGCTACAGCTCAGGATTCCCTGTCCAGGTTAGTGCTAGCATGGTGGTCTCAGCTCTCTGCACCACGGTGGGCTGTAGCCTCACCAGAAATCCCATCAATCCTTTTAAAAAGTAACACTATTTCGCCACATGGTAATATGCTGATGCCAGCATTTTCAGTAGGAAGTATGTCTAGCAGCTGCTTGCCCGAGTAGAACTGATGTGAGTAGAGAATCATTTACAGTTCCTCTTATGATCCTCGGTGTGTTTACCGTGCTTTGGGCTGACCCCAACCCCAGTGAGTAACGCTCTTCTGCTGTCAAAGCATGCTGCTCCTGAGCCCTGTCAGATAATGCAGATGCAGCAGCAGGCAGGTCTGTGCAAGGACAGGAGACAGAAAACTGTAGGACTAGGTGGGCCTCAGCATGTAGCCAGCAAGGAAGCCCACCAGAGGTGTCTCAGGCAAGGATTGGGAGCAGGAAAATCACTCCAACTGATTCAGAACATATACACATTTATGTATTGTCACGGTTTAAACCCAGCCAGCATCTAAGCCCCACACAGATACTTGCGCACCGCACCCCAGCGAGATAGGGGAGAGAACTGGAAGAGTAAAAGTGAGAAAAATCATGGGTTGAGATACAGTTTAATAGGTAAAGCAGAAGCAACACAGACAAGCAAACAAAAACAAGGCATTCATTCACCACTTCCCATTGGCAGGCAGGTGTTCATCCATATCCAGGAAAGCAGGGCTCTATCATGTGTAATTGGGTAGAAAATTACTTGGGAAGACAAGTGCCATAACTGTGAATGTTTTCCCTTCTTTCCTCTTCCCCTGCCTTTTTACTGCTGAGCATGATGTCATGTGGTATGGAATATCCCTGTGGTCAGTTGGGGTCAGTTGTCTCAGCTGTGTCCCCTCACAACTTCTTGTGCAGCCCCAGTCAACTCACTGTTGGGATGGTGTGAGGGTCAGAAAAGGCCTTGGCTCCATGTAAGCACTGTTCAGCAGTAACTAGAACAGCCCTGTATTATCAACACTGTTTTCAGCAAAGTCCCAAACATACTCCCATACTAGCTACTGTGGAAAAAATTATCTCATATGAAACCAGCACATGTATGTAAAGGTTTTAAGGTATAATATTCATACCTTCTGCAAGAAATATTTGAATTTTTGATAAAATTAGCATTTTTAAGGGCTGAGAAAGACATTTCAAAATCACTTCAAAAAATTTATGTTGTTAGTAAAAAAGGAGTACCTTGGTGTGCTAGGATGAAAGAGTAAGTCACCCTCTATCTTCAGCTACATTTCTTTTCAATTGCACATCCCTTCAATTTTCCCATCCATTAATTGTACATTCCCATGATGTAAGCAGATACCATAGAAGAATTTTGAAAACTTTCAATTGCTCTTACTAGAGCTGGATGACATGGGTGAAAGTCCGAGTGGCCTATCTGAACTAGCCAGCCCAAAACTTCTACAGTCAAATCCTCATCACCTCAAGCTGGTTTACTGATTCACTTTAAACTAGTCAGCTTGTGCAGTCATCCCTCTTGTTGACTCTGCATGAAATTGGTTTGATACAGCAAGGCTTCCTCACTCAGGTGCTGCCATGCCACCTCCAGGACTGCTGGCATTTCGCCCTTTCCCAACACAGTATCGATGCAGCACAGAGCTCAGCTGGCCGTTTCTGTGGCTGATTCCTATGTCCAAATCAGATCGTTTGAGTGGTTCCCTGCATGTGTGTGACTTCACATGAGAGGTAAGATGGGATCAGAAGACGTTTCGGGTTCCAGTGGCAGTAATTCCTTTATTATTAGTTCTACTCCTCATTTTCTGGGATAT